AGACTGAGAATTCTAGTCTTATTTTAGGCATGAAAGCCGACTGGGTGTCTTGGGGCCAATCACTGGGAGACGGTGAATTCTAGTTCTACCTGAGGCATGAAAGCCGGCTGGGTGACTTTGCGCCACTCACCAGGAGATTGTGAGTTCTAGTCCCGCCTTAGGCATGAGAGCCAGTTGGGTGACTATGGTCCAATCAGCAGGAGACGGTGAGTTCTAGTCCCACCCACCGTAGGCATGAAAGCCAGTTGTGTGTCTTTGGGCCAGTGCCTCTCAGCCCAGCCCACCTCACAGGCATGTTGTTGTGGAGGAAATAGGAGAAGGAAAACGGGTTGGATATATTCACTGCCTCAAGTTACTTGTAAAAATAATACAGGCGGGATGTGAATAAATGATAAATCAAGGTGGCACCTTTAAGACCCTTAAGAAAACAAAATTCTAGCATCCAGAGTTTGTTCAGCAGGGGGAGAAACCAATCCTGGACCTGGTGGGTTCTCGGTGCTTAAAGAGATCCTGGATGTCCACATGGCAGAGATGCTGAGGTACTGCTGTGCTCTGTCAGGGGTTGGACTAGATGACTTTCAGGGGTCCCCGCACTCTGTGAATCTAGGTCTCGGTGGGATGGCAGAAACTAGACGGTCAATTTTATGGTGTTTAGCCATGCTCTCCCCTCTAGAGAACTACAAGATTCCTTCTTCCCTAAGTCCATTAACTTATATTTCAAGTTTGATATCAGAGGGGCATCTGTATAAATGTTTTAAATCAGTGGTTCTCAACCTTTTTAATGCCACGACCCCCAACCGGTTGTAATTCGAGGACTACTCAACCGGTCGTAAGTTGAGGACTACTCAACTGGTGCAGCACCGTTTGCAGACTAGGACTTTTGGCGGGCTCAGCAGGGAAGAGACAGCCTGGACAATTCCTATTGGCTTTTGAAAGCCAATAGAATTAGACTCTATTCAAGAGAGTCTATTCTATTGGCTTTCAAAAGCCAATAGAATAAAAGGGAGTAGCACAGCTAAGGAAAAGGGGGAAAAATGGCGGACTGTGTTGTTTGACGACCCCCGTGAAATGGTCGTTCGACCCCAAATGGGGTCCCAACCCACAGGTTGAGAACCACTGTTTTAAATGAATAAATATCTACTGCTGATCAGTGTTGGGAGACCAAGTTGGTTTTCCACCCACAGCCTGGAAGAAAAAAAAAAGTCCTATCAGATGTTTACTTTCATAACCGGACAAATAATCCAACGGGTGTTTTGACTGCACAAGCGACATCCTGCTTTCCTTGAACCCTTGGCTCCATGCAGAGCCCAGACAATGTGAGGCTTCGTTTGAAGCTGCTGCGTCACACTGCCACATCTTTCTTGTCCATTGGGGCTGGTCTGCTTAGCTGGCTGAGCTGCCTTTCGCTTGTTGATGTCACTCTCAAATGACAGTTTTATGGATTTTCAATTCAGGAAGTGCCACAATCAAAAGTTCCTTTTTAATCCAGGCTGCAGTGAGACTTGTTTTCTCTTGGAATCTCAACCTTGGGCAGTTCAAGATGGGTGGACCTCAACTCCCAGAATTCCTCAGCCAGCATTGTTTCTCAGCCTTGTTACTTTAAGATGGGTGGACTTCAAGTTGGGAGTTGAAGTCTACACATCTTAAAAGTGTCCACGTTTGAAAAACACTGATTTAACTAATGAATAAATAGAAGCAGCAACATATTAGGCTGTCCAGTTGCACCCTATTAAAAAAAAAAACCTTGCATTCATAAAACACCTTTGCTAAAAGCCTGGCATAGCATCAGTGGCTTAATTTGTCTCTGCAGCTGGAGAAACACCCATTGTTTCAGTTTTGGTGGCAGTACCGAAAGAAGAAGAAAGTAAAAGAACATGGTAATAATTAAAGGGTTGGGCTATATAAGATTCATATTAACGTTCATTCGCATGGAGGGAATGGCTTTGGGTCAACCCAGCCTATCTCTCAGGATTTGGGTAGTTGAAAAGCAAGTTGGTTGATTGACCCAGGTGTGCTAGCCTATGTACATATTGCCCTGAAAATTATTATTTTTAATTAATATTTGCAATTAACAGTTGAGTCCTTGGGAGGCAGCAGGCATAACAATATTAAGGACTCTGGCCTTATTAGGGAAAGATTACAGCATAAAACGATCTGCCAATCGTTTAAAATGAACAATCAGATAGTAAAAAATGAGATGGTTATTGTTTTCTTCCTTAATTTTGACATCCAAAGCCTGTTTAATACGGAAAATTTGAGCCATTTCCTAAAATTCAGAAAAAGGTGCATATTTCACAAGCTACTGCAGAGAAGGCCTGATATACACGATTAGTTTAACATGGCTTTTATAAATATGTCAATTAACAGCATTCTTATTTCCTGTTGGTATATGTAAAATATTTATATCCATAAGAGAAAAGGTGGAAAAAAAGTCCTACAGAACAATATAGATCAGTGGTTCTCAACCTGTGGGTTGGGACCCCATTTGGGGTCGAACGACCATTTCACGGGGGTCGCCAAACAACGCAGTCCACCATTTTTTTCCCCCTTTTCCTTAGCTGTGCTAATCCCTTTTATTCTATTGGCTTTTGAAAGCCAATAGAATAGACTCTCTTGAATAGAGTCTAATTCTATTGGCTTTCCAAAGCCAATAGGAATTGTCCAGGCTGTTTCTGCCCTGCTGAGCCCGCCAAAAGTCCCATTCTGCAAACGGTGCTGCACCAGTTGAGTAGTCCTCGACTTACGACCAGTTGGGGGTCGCGGCATTAAAAAGGTTGAGAACCACCGATATAGACAGAAGCAGATGAACAAAAAGAGAAAGGATAAGATAGTGATGTGTAACTATTGTAGTAAATATATATATATATAAAAGACAAAATCTTAACCACACAGAAGCATATTCAGGTAGGCCTCAAGTCACAACCTTTCATTTATTGACCGTTCCAAGTTACAACTGAAAAAGGTGACTCATGACCGTTTTTCACAGTTATGACCGTTGCAGCATCCCCAGGGTCACGTGATCAAAATTCAGACGCTTGGCAACTGACTCGTATTTATGACGGTTGCAGTGTCCCCGGGTCATGTGGTTTCCCCCTTTTGCGACCTTTTGACAAGCAAAGTCCAGGGGGAAGCCAGACACACTTAACAACCGGGTTATTCATTTAACAACGTAGGCGATTTGCTTAGTAAGTGTGGCAAGGAAAGTCGTAAAATGGGGCACAATTCACTGCTGTCTTGCTTAACAGAAATTTTGGGCTCAGCTGTCAGAGGTCAAGAACTACCTTTAGATCAGTGTTTCTCAACCTGGATCATTTTAAGGCATGTGGACTTCAACTCCCAGAATTCCATAGCCAGCATTGCTGGCTGTGGAATTCTGGGAGCTGAAGTCCACATGCCTTAAAATGGTCAAGGTTGAGAAACACTGCTTTAGATCAAATCTCCTTTTATGTCAGTCGAGGAGTTACTTTGAAAGGAGAAAGGGATCCTGGTCCTTCACTTCAAGTTTTTAGATCCCGTCTTTGAAATGAAGTGAAATCATCTTTTTAATTGCTCTCTGTGCTTCGGGCAGTCAGCGTTCTTCCCAATTTATTAGGGTTTCAGTGTGTTAATTCCGCGTCGCATCAACATGTCAAAAACTTCCTTCTGTTCCCCAAGAAAGATATTAACAATAGGGGGGGGATGTAAAATGGCACAATTGTAGGATGAGCCCAAACCACGTGTGTCTAAATAGGATGGGTTTAAGGCAGGGGTAGGCAACCTTGGCTCTTTTATGATTTGTGGACTTCAACTCCCAGAATTCCTGAGCCAGCATGGCTCAGCTTAGAAACCTCTCCCCTTTCCCCTCAGCGAGGCTGGCTCAGGAATGCTGGGAGTTGAAGTCCTCCCATCGTCAAGTGGCCAAGGCTGAGAAACACTAAGTCTAGAACAGGGCTAGGCAACCTTGGCTCTTTTATGACTCGTGGACTTCGACTCCCAGAATTCCTGAGCCAGCATGAGGGAAACTTTGGCCCCTTCATGACTTGTGGACTTCAACTCCCAGAATTCCTGAGCCAGCATGGCTCAGCTTGGAAACCTCTCCCTTTCCCCTCAGCATGGCTGGCTCAGGAATTCTGGGAGTTGAAGTCCACCAGTCATAAAAGAGCCAAGGTTGCCTACCTCTGGTTTAAGGTATAAAGTAGTGGATCTCAAACTTGGCAATTTTAAGAGGTGTGGACTTCAACTCCCAGAATTCCCCAGCCAGCCATGCTGACTATTAGAAAGGATAGTTATGGGAAGAAGGAAGCGAAAGGGTAAAATATAAATGCATTTGTAATCACTCAAAAAGATTGCAAAGATTTTCTCTTTATTTCTGTTTCTATTTTCTTATGTATACGCCGTCCCTTCTTGTTTTCTTTGCTGCTCTTTTAATATTTGCATTGTTTTTGTCTTGTTTAAAAACCTCTTCAATTACATTTTAGTTTTAAAGAAGAAATGTGATTTTTGCCACCACCTACCGGAGGGGGTGCTTCTACATACACCCCACACCCCAAAGTACAGGATGTGCTTTGAACATTGAGTGTAGGGTACTTCACACTTCATCTGATTTCATTTTAAATATTTCCCTTTCTGATAGGATGCAATTTCCCGTTTCAATTTTTCACTGGCTGAGTTGAGTTCTAGACTAGGCTAAAAAAAAATAGCTTTGGAAGGTTTTCTGTGTGTTGTGGGGATGCAGCCACTGTCTTAGTCTGTAATATAAACTGGACCATCATTTTAAACCGTCGTGAATTTGATTTCTTTGGGCATCACGGGTGAGATGAATTTAGCAATTGTTTGCTCAAACACCGTTTGGAGTTTAGCATGTCGTGTGAACCCCATCCGTGTCAAGGTTGGACCAGCACAGCCAAAACACCATTGCTCGTTTTAAAAATAAAATTGTTCCTAGTTGGTCTTCAAAAGGCTTCTCGATTGCCAGAAAGTGTGAGCTGTTAACTCAGCTGCCTTATGTTTTGCTTCTCTAGTTGTATTCGCCCAGCAAGTGACAGTCAACCATGAGGTCACCGGGTACCTGGGGAAGAAGGCGGTCCTGCCTTGCAACATCGTGGTAACTGAGCCTGAGGTGCAGGTCAGCCAAGTGACCTGGGTGAAGGAGATCGAAGGCCGGAGGCAGAATGTGGCCGTGCACCATCCAAAGCACGGACAAAACTATCCAGTGGAGAGGAACAGCAGGCGCATCCATTTTCACGTACCATCCTTGACGGACGCCACACTGGTCATTGAACACCTTCTCATGACGGATGAAGGCACCTACTCTTGCGAGTTTGCCACCTACCCCCACGGCAATGAAATTGGCACCACCAACTTGATTGTCTTGGGTAAGAACCAAGTGCTCGCCTTCGATCTGCAGGGCCTCCAGCTAACCGCTGGTAGGGTTGACACACCCAGTTAAGTTGTGAAATGCTGTGGTTTGTGGGGGGAACCCCTAAGACACGGCTCTACGCCTTGGGCTGAGCTGCCGGCGGTGGAATTGCACTGACCTAGTCTCTATATCACGTGGGAAGGCAAAGCCAAGTAAGCGATATTATGACACTTGGTGAAGCTGCCGGGGAACACAGAAATAACCCTGGAAAAGGTGTGGTGGCAGCCATTGGTGAAACAAGAGCTTAGCTCAGGGGTAGGCAACCTTGGCTCTTTTATGACTGGTGGACTTCAACTCCCAGAATTCCTGAGCCAGCCACACTGAGGGGAAAGGGAGAGGTTTCCAAGCTGAGCCATGCTGGCTCAGGAATTCTGGGAGTTGAAGTCCACGAATCATAAAAGAGCCAAGGTGGCCTACCCCTGGCCTGGGCCTGTATTTCTCAACCTTGGCCACTTGGAGATGGGTGGACTTCAACTCCCAGAATTCCTGAGCCAGCAGGGCTCAGCTTGGAAACCTCTCCCTTTCCCCTCAGCGTGACTGGCTCAGGAATTCTGGGAGTTGAAGTCCACGAGTCATAAAAGAGCCAAGGTTGCCTACCCCTGGCTTAGCCCAAGAAATCAGGAAAGCACAAGAAAGAAACTCAAGATGGACCAGTCTTGATTCTCTTTGGCATAAGAGATTTTCAAGATCCCAGTACAGATAGTCCTCAACTTGACCTACATTTGAGCCCATAATTTATGTTGGTCAGTGAGAAATTAAGTGAGTTTTGCCCCGTTTTACATCTTGTTTGCTAAGTGAATCACTGCAGTTATTAAATTAATAACATGGTGGTTAAGAGAATCTGGCTTCCCCATTGACTTTGCTTGTCAGAAAGTTACAAAAGGGGGAATCACATAACCCCGGGGCACTGCGACCGTCGTAAATATGAGTCAGATGCCAAGTGTCTGAATTTTGATCCCGTGACCATGGGGATGCTGCAACGGTGTAAAAAACGGTCATGGGTCACATGGGTCACTTTTTTCCGTGTCCTTGTAACTTCAAATGGTCACTAAATAAACCGATGTAAGTCAAGGACTGTCTGTATTCTAACCTACATCAAGAAAACAGAATTTTAGTATTCCTCGTGTCTGTGTCCTGACTGATAGTTCCCGAAGGGCTGTCAAAACTTGACTTTGAAATCCTAAAAAAAAAAAAAAAAAGCTGATCTCTGGCTGAAAATAAATACCGTAAATGCCGGCGTATAAGACGACTTCCGCGAGCGCTGAAATCGGCGCCAAAGACGGGGGTCGTCTTATACGCCGAGTCGTCTTATACGCCGGAAATACTGGTAGTTTCCGGCGTATAAGACGACGTTCTAGGAATGCGGCCCGGCTATAAAGACGGGGGTCGTCTTATACGCTGGGTCGCCTAATATGGCAGCATATACGGTATATATTGAATACTTTAAGCTTGTACACCTTCCCCCCCCCCGTCACAATCATCCTGCAACTTTTATAAATAAGGGAATAGGGGAAAAAAATATCTGCTAAATAAATGAATTGCTGTTTGTAAGAGAATTATAAAAGGCGTAGACACCTAACCCTTCTAAAGACCCCCAACCTGCCCTAACGTTTATTTATTTATTTATTTGCTCAACTACCCCAACCTTGCCTGAGTCCTCTGGCGTGTGTGGGCCTTCGGCCCGCTGAATCCCCCCAACGAGCAAAGCCCACCATATCTGTCTCGGTGCATCTGGCATTCAAGTGTTCCTGATGCTTTTGAATGACTTCCCAGGGGCTGTTGTGCGTTAAGCTAAGCTGATCTGCCAGGTCATGCATTCTAGGATTGCCGAGATGGTGGCGTGTCTCCATTCTTCCAATTAATTACGGGCCACTCATTATTGCATAGGGAACTAGGCTAATGACACCAATAATTGGTTCTTTTGCAGGGGCAAAACACCGCCCACCCCCCACCCCCAAAGCCTTGAGTCTGCTCAGATCCAACCCTACTTCGGATTCGCTTCTCCTAATGCAGTGGTTCTCAACCTGTGGGTCGGGACCCCATTTGGGGTCGAACGACCATTTCATGGGGGTAGCCAAACAACGCAGTCTGCCATTTTTTCCCCTTTTCCTTAGCTGTGCTACTCCCTTTTATTCTATTGGCTTTTGAAAGCCAATAGAATAGACTCTCTTGAATAGAGTCTAATTCTATTGGCTTTCAAAAGCCAATAGGAATTGTCAAGGCTGTCTCTGCCCTGCTGAGGCCGCCAAAAGTCCCATTCTGCAAACGGTGCTGCACCCGTTGAGTAGTCCTCGACTTACGACCGGTTGAGTAGTCCTTGGCTTATGATCAGTTGGGAATCGTGGCATTAAAAAGGTTGAGAACCATTGTCCTAACACTTCGCTGCAGAGAGATTTGGTAAGGGTGTCCTCTTTCAAGAGTCCTGGTCTGAAAAATCTGATGGACCTTAGGAGGGGGGGGGGAGATAATTCCCTTTTCTTAGTTGTAGGTCTTTATTAGACACGGAGTTTCTCGGATTGACCTTTAAAGCTTGCCCACCCCATAAGAAAGCTGCTGATTTAAAATGCAAGGCTTCTCCATTTTACAGTTCTGCAGGAGCGCAGAATACGGAACTGGATGAAGCCCCCCCCCCATGGCAGAGCCTTGCTTTTCTTAATTTTAAAAAAATGTAACGAAATAGAATATAATAACAGTTGGAAGGGACCTTGGAGGTCTTCTAGTCCAACCCTCTGCTCAGGCAGGAAACCCTGTATGATTTCAGACAAATGGTTGTCCAATCTCTTCTTAAAAACCTTCCAGTTTTGGAGCACCCCCAACTTCTGGAGGCAGGTTGTTCCACTGGTTAATTGTTCTCACTGTCAGGAAGTTTCTCCTTAGTTCTAGGTTGCTTCTCTCCTTGATTCGTTTCCACCCACTGCTTCTTGTCTGCCTTCAGGCGCTTTGGAGAATAGCTTGATTCCTCTTCTTTGTGGCAACCTCTGAGATATTGGAATAGCTTAAGAGTTCTACTTCACTCAGACTACTATTATTAGTCACTCCAGCCCTGAGAACAGTCTGTGAGACAGCCTCATTTGGAGAATAGCTTGACTCCCTCTTCTTTGGGGCAGCCCTTGAGATATTAGAACACTGCTATCATGTCCCCCCTCGTCCTTCCCTTTGTTAAACTAGACATACCCAATTCCAGCAACCGTTCCTTTATATGTTTTAGCCTCCAGTCCCCTAATCCCCTTTGTTGATCGTAAGTCACTTTTTTTTAGTGCCAGTGTAACTTCGGACGATTGCTAAAGGATTGGTTGCAGTAGAAAGGGCTACCTATAATATAGAGTTACCCCCAAAAATCTCAGAGATGTCGTTTTTTTACAGCAATGCCTGCTTGAAAATTTTGACACCAATGAGAGGCTGTGCAAAATTTCTAGCAGTTTGGGGTAGAATCCCAACATCCGTCTTACCTCTCCCCCCTTTTTTTTATGAGCTGCGAAAAAAAGTAAGGTATCTCCTGAGAACGATTTTTTTTTAACCTCAGTTGTAATTATAGAAATTATAGGGATTTTGCCCTGTGCGCTGTGCGATCTACCCAGAAACCCATTCCTGATTCACTGTGAATGTCTTCTGGCCCTTATGATTACAGGGGAATCTGTGGGAAACTTCCCAACTCCTCTCCTTTTATCTGGAAATTCCATTCATTTTCGCTCCCAAAATGGCAAACACCTGGAGGACTTTAGGATTACAGAACTTTCTCTCCGAAATAGATGGCACCTCTGGGGGGAGGGGGGGGGAGAAGTCTGGCAACTGAGGACAAAATTGTAGAAGAGACTCTTGTCTGTTGTAGTCTCCTCCCCACGCCCCAAAAATGTTGTATTTATGCTGTGCAAATTAGTGCAATTAGTTGCAAACAAAGGTCCCCTGACACTAGCTTTGGAACTAGCATTTTCCCATGTCTGAAGTGGGCAGAAAGATTGGGTGATGCAAGGAAAACAGTCCCTAACTATTACCTGTAACTCCTGGGGAGTGGGGCATAATCCCCATCACTTAAACCAGGGGTGTCCATCCTTGGGAACTTTTAAGACTTGTGGACTTCAACTCTTAGGGTTCCCCAGCCAGCATGCACAGACTTCAACTCCCAGAATTCAGTGGAGTCGAAGTTCCCAAGCGGCCCCGGTTGAGAAACACTCATACAGTCTGGCCTTAGGGCAGTGGTGGCGAACCTATGGCACGGGTGCCAGAGGCGGCACTCAGAGCCCTCTCTGTGGGCACGCGCACCATCGCCCCAGTCCTAGGCCTTCAGCTGGGTTTTATAAAACCTTTTCGCTTTAGGCCTCCGCCGCCGTGTGCAAAAAAAAAGGTTCAATCAATCAGTCAATTTCAACTTCTCGTGGGGGAAAAAAAAGATCTTGCAAAGTTGGAATTAGTTGATAGAATTTTTTAGTCCCACCCAGTTACCACCGCAGCCACGCCCACCCAATGGGCCACACCCACCCAATGGGCCACACCCACCCGGCACCGGACGATGCGTAAGTGGGTTTCGGGTTGCAGTTTGGGCACTCGGTCTCTAAAAGGTTCGCCATCACTGCCTTAGGGTCATGTACCTTGTGCAAATGCAGCCTTTTCACCTGCACGTCTGTTCCTCTTCCAGCCAAGCCCACAAGCAGTGCTGCGGCTGAGGAGGTGAAGGCCAGCAACGTGGAGCAGCCAGTGGCCGTGTGCACGTCCGCCAACGGGAAGCCGCCAGCGCGCATCACCTGGCAGTCGAAGCTGAACGGCAACTCCAGTGTTGAGACGACAAATAACCCCGATGGCACCGTCACCGTCACCAGCCGCTACAACTTAATTCCCACCAAGGAGGCCAACGAGCAGCAGATCACCTGCCTTGTCGAACACGTCGCCCTGCCACAAGCCGAGTCCTTCCCTGTCCAGCTTTCCATATTGTGTGAGTGGAGTGGGGTGTTGCGGCTTGGGGAGACTCAGAGAAGTTGTCCCCGGAGTTTATTTGTGGGTCAGATCTGTCGGAGCGCAAGCCAGCACGTGTCGTGTTCCAACCTTGCATATCTGTCCCTCAATACAGGGGTAGGCGACGTTGGCTCTTTTATGGCTCGTGGACTTCAACTCCCAGAATTCCTGAGCCAGCATGGCTCAGCTTGGAAATCTCTCCCTTTCCCCTCAGCGTGGCTGGCTGAGGAATTCTGAGAATTGAAATCCACGAGTCTTAAAGTTGCCAAGGTTGAGGACCCCTGATATAGGGCAGGGATGGGGAACCTTGGCTCTTTTATGACTCGTGGACTTCAATTCCCAGAATTCCTGAGCCAGCCATGCTGAGGGGAAAGAGAGAGGTTTCCAAGCTGAGCCACACGGGCTCAGGAATTCTGGGAGTTAAAGTCCATGAGTCATAAAAGAGCCAAGTTTGAAGACCCCTGGTTTAAATATTTAAATATTTTTCCTCACAGTCACATGATCAAAATTCAGGCATTTGGGCAGGGGCAGGTAACCTTGGCCCCTTCATGACTTGTGGACTTCAACTCCCAGAATTCCTGAGCCAGCCATGCTGAGGGGAAAGAGAGAGGTTTCCAGGCTGAGCCAGGCTGGCTCAGGAATTCTGGGAGTTGAAATCCACGAGTCATAAAAGAGCCAAGGTTGCCTACCCCTGCTCAATGACAATTCCGTGTGATGGGCTGGACTGAGAGAGGGAAATGGGGATTGATCCAGGGTCCTCCCAGCAGCTTCCATGGCTGAGGGGGGGGGGGTTAGAATCAAGATCACGTGAAGTATTAATACCACTTTACAAGGCCTTGGTAAGGCCACACTTGGAATACTGCATCCAGTTTTGATCACCACGATGTAAAAAAGATGTGGAGACTCTAGAAAGAGTACAGAGAAGAACAACAAAGATGATTAGAGGACTGGAGGCTAAAACATATAAGGAATGGTTGCTGGAATTGGGAATGTCTAGTCTAATGAAGAGAAGGACGAGTGGAGACATGATAGCACTGCCTCAATATCTGAGGATCTGCCCCAAAGAAGAGGGAGTCAAGCTATTCTCCAAAGCACCTGAAGACAGGACAAGAAGCAATGGGTGGAAAACCTATCAAGGAGAGAAGCAACCTGGAACTAAGGAGAAACTTCCTAACAGTGAAAACAATTAACCAGTGGAACGTCTTGCCTTCAGAGGTTGTAGGTGTTCCATCACTGGAGGCTTTTAAAAAGAGACTGGACAGCCACTTGTCTGGAATCATATAGGGAAGGTTGGAGTAGAAGACCTCCAAGGCACCTTCCAACTCTTGTTATTTTGTCAGAACCACAATTCTCCCACCCCTAGTTCAGCTTCTTAACTTCTGCACCACCCTGGCTCTCTTGTCACCTGGAATTACAATTCATAAACCACCATGTTTTTTAATATCCAGGTGTTGAAAGGGAAGGGCTGGCTCAAATTCATCCAGCTTTCAGATGCAAGCAGCCAGAGCCACGTGAATAATAATAATAATAATAATAATAATAATAATAATAATAATAATAATAATAATAAAAACCATAACTTCATTGTTTACCACCTGTGTTACAAGAATCTCCCCAGACTGCTTACCTTCCCTTGGGAACAACCACGAGGCTGTTCATGGATCTCGGGAAAGCTGATGCTGCTGATTCCCCAAGGCTAGTTCCCCGCTTGACCCCTCCTTCCAGCCCAGCTGGCAGATTCCCAACACCTGCGTGGAGAAGGAGGGGTTAAGGCGGTTGGGTGGGGAGAGAAGTCAGACTTTCAGCAGCCAATATAGAATATTTGCTGCAAGAAGGTCGAGGAAGACGGAGAAGGAAAGTTGCGTGTGTGGGTGCATCTGTGCGGCGCACGTCTTCAGCCAAGTCTGAGCTATTTTGACTGCTTTCTCTGCAGATGCCCCAGAGGTTGCCATAGAGGGCTACGATGACAACTGGTATTTGACCCGCAATGACGCCATACTCGTTTGCAGCGCGAGGGGGAACCCCACTCCGGTGGATTTCTTCTGGACCACGTGAGTCCTAATCTTTTCCTGTTTTCCCTGGTAAGCTGTTCCTTAACCCAACCCAGTTATTGGCCAGAGCAGGAGGTGGGTTAACTATGGCTCCTTTACGACCTGGGGACTTCAGTTCCCAGAATTGCTATAGATGGCAGAGGAATTCTGGGAGTTGAAGTCCACAGATGCTACAAGGGACCATATTGCCCACTGCTGGGCCAGAGGAAATGTTTTCTCTCTCTCTCTCTCTCTTTTTTTTTTTTTTAATTCTGTACCCTATGTTTTGGGACGGTCCTGGGCATCTCCAATCTGATCCTAGTAGGCCAATTGTTGATATCGTTATTTCTGTTTTGTGGCTTTTGCATTGAAAATACATCTGTCTGTTTGTCTATTTACCTATCTTTATCCATTCATCTATCCATTCATTCCTCCATGTCTGTCTGTCTGTCTGTCATCTATCTGCCTGTCGTCCATCTACTGTGTTTCCCTAAAAGTACGACCTACCTTGAAAATAAGATGAGATCTTATTTTTGTTGGAAACACGGTATCTGTCTATCTGTATATATATCTTGTCTGTCTGTCTGTCTGTATCTGTCTATCTGTATGTATATCTTGTCTGTCTGTCTGTATCTGTCTGTCTGTCTGTCTATCTATCTGTCTATATCTATCTTTCTGTGTCTGTCTATGTCTGTCTGTCTGTCTATGTCTGTTTGTCTATCTATCTAATCTATCATCTATCATCTATCATTTATGTATATCTATCCATCCACTCAACCAACTATCTCTATCTATCTATCTATCTATCTATCTATCTATCTATCTATCTATCTATCCATCCATCCATTCGATCTATGAATCTTCTTTATGGCTTAACTGGCCTTGCTTGGTTTCCCAGGACCAATGGACCGCTTCCGAAGTCTGTCGAGGTCCAAGGTCACCGCCTACTTGTGAGAAAAGTGGATTACACTGTGAACACCACCTTCATCTGCCAAGCCACCAATCGCGTGGGGCAAGTTTCGACCCAGCAAATCATCCTCGTCCGGGGTAAGAACTGTGGGCTTTTGCAACCTTTTCAGTGTGTGTGGGTGTGTGTGCGTGCGCGCGCACGGGGGGCTAATGGAGTGTGGCGTGAAGATGAATTAAGATTTTGGTGCCACTTAGCTGCTGGGGAGGGGGGGGCAGCATTTTAAGTCGATCCAGCTTGGAGCCCGTCCAAAGTCTCATAATGTGTACGGTAGAATAATCGGTGTCTTTTTTTTTTTTTTTAACCTAATCTGGGGAACCGAATATATTTGAATTCTTCCTCTTCTGTCACAAGTTCAGTGCGCGGTGCTTTGCGCAGCAGGACGCCGGGAAGCATTGTGAGATTTAACTAGCTCAAGGCACGGCGATAAAAAGCCTTGGGCTTAGATAGGCCAGGAGCCAGAGGCATTGTGGGTGCAGAGAGGCTTTGGGGGGGGGGCAGAAGGATAGCCGGGGCACCACACACGTGGGGCGAACGTTGCTTTTCTGGACCCTCCGATACCTTAGTTTCTCTGTGGACGTACAGGGGCCTCTTGGCCGCCTGCGAGAGATGGTGACGATGATGATGGATGGCGGGGTCCCGAGGACCGCCCGGTCTCCTCTTTCCCGGACCCAGTTGAGGCTCTGCCCCTTCCCCAGTGCTGGTATTACTAACCACTCGCATTTCTCGGAGTGACTTCCCCGTCTTCCTTTCTTTACTCAGACCAGCCGGTGAAGAGTCAGAGCCGCAACGTTGGAGCCCTGGCCGGGGGTATCGTGGGGGGGATCCTGGCCCTGGCAATTCTGGGGATCATAGTCTTCTTCATCTTCCACCGCCGGCACGCCCGAGCTTCCAAAGGCTCCTTTGACCCCAAGACTCGACCCTTTGGCAACGGGACCGCTCAGCCACCAAAGCATGACTTCACCGAACTCGACCGGCCGCTGAAACCCGCCACAGGAAGAAAGCCCGAGGACGAGGACGACGAGGAAGATTACAGAGAGGAGGAGCACGAAGAACGGCGGCACCCTCCCTACGGCTACGCCCCGCGGCATCGGGAGGACGAGGAGGAACGATTCGACCAGCTGGGCCCCATTCTGCGGTTCAGCCCTGACCCGCACGGCTACGAGTACGACGACATGGAATCCCAGCACGACGGTTCCATCATCTCCAAAACGGCCGTCTACGTGTGAGCTTGGTCTGGACAGCCGTCCTGGGACCGCGGGAGAACGGTGCTCCCTCTCAAAAGACCCTCGAACACTCTCTGAAGGATTTTTAATGTTTTCTTTAACTTACGGACTCTGCCGACAGAAGCCCCTGCTTAAGGAAGGCGAGGCCGCTGTCAGGGCAGGTTGGCCTCGGAGGAAAAACAAACGGGGTGTCCCTGGGAAACAGAGAAACTAAGGAGAAACACAATCAAAACCTCCCTTCTGGAGATCTTTTCAATACCGCTGCCTTAGAAGGATTTGTAAATCTTGGCTTTATTTTTTAATGTTGGAGGAGATGCGAACCGGGTGGTAATACCTGGGGTCCGAGCAGTGCAGGAAAGAATTAAGTTGATCCAACCTTCCCTGTGAAATGGGACCGCCGGTGAGGGACGGAGACTTAGGTGCGCTCTCCGAAAGGACTCCACTGAGATTGGTGCTCTCTACTTTGATTGCAAGAGACTCGGCTGCTTTCAACGGCCGGGCTTCCCTCAGCCACCCCTTGCTCCGGGAAACTGGGACTTAAAATGTCTCGTCGTTGTGTCTTGTAGCGTCCTCGGAGGGTTGGGAGAAATGAAGGGGCCTGGTGCTCAGCCCCGAGGTCTCTTAAAAAACTTTTTTGGTTAAGGAATTATCCGGGAATTGCCTGAGATTGTCCGTCTTGTGGATTCCGTGGTTTGGCTGTGTACCACGTCCTCCTTCCGTCTCCAGATCCTCCTCGTGTGGGAGACTGTAAAAGAAGGCTCTCCAAAATGGGGACCGAGCCATTTCATGGCCTTCCACGTTCACACGCTACCTTTGTGCTCTACTTTACGTGCCCTGTGTCGGTTGTCTGTAAATAACCTTGCTTTAAAGAAAACAAAACCACAAACGAAACACCCAACAGCCAAGGCGCAGAGCTATTTTCGTACTCGGTTTGACTGCGCCTTCCCCAGTCCTCCCCCCTTCAGTGTCAGTTCTGCCTTCGTTTGTGTGTAATTAAATGCTGTCTCAAAACCTACCTCTTCTCTCTCTCGCTCGCTCGCTCTGTCTTGGATTTGGCCAGCAAAACTTGGATGGCTGCCCGCCATGGTGTAAATACATATCTGCATTGCTGGAGGTGAAATTGAAATGGTTTTTAATAGAGTGACAACGAGGCTCTTGTCTCGACCATATTATGCTTGGCGGATGCACTTGGATTTAGGAAAGCCATAAAGTGGTGGCGCAGGACCTTTTGCAAACCAAAATGTCCTGGGAGGTCAGGTTGAGAAAACGGCGTTGTCTACGTGAGACCGGGGTGGGGAACTAGGGCCCTTTTATGACTTGTGGACTTCAACTCCCAGAATTCCACGCTGGCTTGGGAATTCTGGGAGTTGAAGTCCACAAGCCACAATGTGGGGGGGGGGCATAGTTCCCACCTCTGGTGTAAGAAAAGCTTGATATTTTGATGACAGAAAAACCTCTAATGTTTTAGATGCATCTTCATATAGGCACAATACAGGAAGTTCTTCACTTACAACTATTCGTTTAGTATCCCAGGTTTACAGCAGCACTAAAAAACGTGACTTACGACCCTTTTTCACACTTAACAACCGTTGCAGTACCCCTGTGGTCACACGATCAACATTCATACACTTGGCAACTAACTCGTATTTATGACGGTCGCACTGTCCCGGGGTCATTGCAATCCCCTTTTGTAAGCAACCTAGAACTAAGGAGAAACTTCCTGACAGTGAGAACAATTAACCAGTGGAACCACCTGCCTCCAGAAGCGGTGAATGCTCCAACACTGGAAGTTTTTAAGGAGAGACTGGATGGCCATTTGTCCGAAATGGTGTAGGGTTTCCTGCCTGAGCAGGGGGTTGGACTAGATGACCTCCAAGGTCCCTTCCAACTTTATCATGATTATTATTCACCATTCTACTAACTGTTGTAACTTCAGTCACTAAATAAACTGTTATAAGTTGAGGACTATCTTTATGTGGAGATTCAAAAGCTTTTTTGTGTTTGTTTGTTTGTTCTGGCGAAGTGCCTTTGAACAGACCCGTGAGGCTGCAGTCCCAAAGGCCGGTAGGGGAGAAAACCCAACTTTGATTTAACGGGCATTTAAATTTCATTCCATAACGTGACTGCAACTGCTGACACTTGGTAGTCTCGTTACTTAAGCACCTGGCCTGCTTACACTCCCAAATGGTTTTGGAGGCAGCTCCCTGGACCCCTCGGAGTTTGCCAGCAGATTTTGCCATTCTTAATGTGATACGAATAGACATTTTCTGCATGTATTTAATAATGTCCTCCAGGCATCTGGGAGTCGTGGCATTCCAGTTGATGCAGCTTTAATCTGACATTAAGATCCCAGAATGCTGTTTCTCTCTGTAGAAAAGTAAGCCCAGCAGTTCCTCACCCCAGCACCCCAAAATGCAAGACAAGAATATTTCCAGATTAATATGTAGGCATTGTATGTATGTATGTATGTATGTAAGTATGTATGCATGTACATGGCCACAATTTGGACCAGAATTAATGTTGCTAAGTGAGACTGTTAAGTGAGTCAACCCGAACTTACGACTGTAAAATAGGGTGTGGCTCATTTAACAACCCCCTAGCTTAGCCGTGGAATTTAAACCCAAAAAAGGGGAGAATAAGTGGAGAGGAGAACTCCAGCATCCTGAGAGGCTGAGGGTCAGCTTCTAACATTGTATTTTTTCCCAGGAATGCTTTTGGCTCTTGAAACATCCCCAGAAACGTGCTTAGGAAATGAATAAAAATAAAAAAAAAAGATGGGACATAAATAAGTAAATAAAATGGGGCATGTTGAAAATAGTTAGAAGGGAGGGTGCCCAGTTGCCAGATCAAAAGGCAAAGCTAAGTAGAGACGGTTAAGCAGTTGGTCAGTGGTAAAGGATGACCTTGTGAGACGGGCTTTTAATTCTGTTTGTTGCTGCTTTATTGGGGTGTTCTCCCTTCATTTTAAGCTGCCCTCCTTCCCCTTTTATCCTGTCAGACGGACCGGGCCACAGTCAAGAGAGAACTTCACCTTAAACCCTCCCTGATTTTTTTTTTTTAAGTCTGGTTATTTTAATTCTGGAACACGCCGGCCTGTTCTTCCAATTAAAACTCGGTGGCAGATCTTGTCTCTTTCTAAATTTAAAAGAACTTGGAAATGTATGAATCACAGCTTTGCTTCCTTGGCGGCCGAGTTACCTTCCCCTTCCGTATTCCTGGCCACCGGTGAGCAAAACCTTCTGAAAGATTACGTGACAGCAACATCTGGGCAACCTTCAAAGCACCTTCTCTTGGCGAGAGCAGATGCCTGTGGCTTGCAGGCTCCCCGAACTGTCGGCTCCCAACACGTCTCCATGACCACCTGTCTTACCTCTCCTTTCTTCAAAGCAGCCAGCCAAACGCTGCCGCCGCATCGGCAGGTGTGACCGAGAGGCTGTTTCGAAGAGAAGCGTGGAGCCGTTGGTGGTGGTGATGGGTGGGAGCTCTTTGTGCTTGCAGGCCATGAAACCCTCTGTTTTGCAAGGGGGTTGGGAGTCTTACACACTGCAGGGGGGGAGCAGTTGGGCTGGAAACACCTGTAGGGCTCCAGAGGTTAAGTCTTTTTCAGCCAGCCGCTCCCTCTGTCAATGTGGAGGGCTGATGTTGGGAATTACAGCTGAGGAAGAAGAGCAGAAGTGACCCAGTTTTTTCTTGTGTGAGGTGAGGAAGGAGGGAGAGCTCCAGGATCAGGGCAAGCTCAGAATTGCTGGAATTCAAGAAAGTTTTAGGGGCTGGGATGGAGGAAGAGAGAAGAGTGAGTGGATGGTTGGGTGGGTGGGTGGGTGGATGGATGGATGGATAAATGGGTGGGTGGATAAATGGATGGATAGATAGATGGATAAATGGGTGGGTGGATAAATGGATGGATAAATGGGTGGATGGATGGATAAATGGTTGTATGGATGGATAGTTGGATAAATGGGTGGGTGGATAAATGGATGGATAGATAGATGGATAAATGGGTGGATGGATGAACAGGTGGATAAATGGGTGGATGGATGGATAAATGGGTGGATGGATGGATAAATGGTTGTATGGATGGATAGTTGGATAAATGGGTGTGTGGATAAATGGATGGATAGATAGATGGATAAATGGGTGGATGGATGAACAGGTGGATAAATGGGTGGATGGAGGGATAAATGAATGGATAAATGGGTGGATGGATGGATAAATGGATGGAAGGGTAGGTAAGTGGATGGATGGATGTGTGGATGGATGGAAGGGTAGGTAAGTGAATGGATGGATGTGTGGATGGACGAATGGATGGATAAATGGTTGTATGGATGGATAGTTGGATAAATGGGTGGGTGGATAAATGGATGGATAGATAGATGGATAAATGGGTTTATGGATAAATGGATAAATGGGTGGATGGATGGATAAATGGGTGGATGGATGGATAAATGGGTGGATGGATGGATAAATGGATGGAAGGGTAGGTAAGTGGATGGATGGATGTGTGGATGGACGAATGGATGGATAAATGGTTGTATGGATGGATAGTTGGATAAATGGGTGGATGGGTGGGTAGATGAATGGATGAGTAGATGGGTGAGTGGATGGATGGAAGAATGGATGGATAAATGGATGTGTGGATGAATAGGATGGATGGGTAGATGAGTGGATGGGTAGATGGTTGAGTGGATGGATGGATAAATGGGTGGATGGATGGGAGGGTAGGGAAGTGAAAGGATGGATGTGTGGATGGATGGATGAATAGATGGATTAATGGATGTGTGGATGGATAGTTGGATAAATGGGTGGGTGGGTGGGTAGTTGAGTGGATGAGTAGATGGGTGAGTGGATGGATGGATGGACGAATGGATGGATAAATGGATGTCTGGATGAATAGGATGGATGGGTCGATGAGTGGATGGATAGATGGTTGAGTGGATGGATGGATAAATGGGTGGATGGATGGGAGGGTAGGGAAGTGAAAGGATGGATGTGTGGATGGATGGATGAATAGATGGATAAATGGATGTGTGGATGGATAGTTGGATAAATGGATGGGTGGGTAGGTAGGGCGGGGGGGGGTGGATAAATGGATGTATGGATGGGTGGATTCAATGTGGAATCCCCAAACAGTCCAACAAGGGTAGAAAATGGGTAGTACAGATAGTCCTTCACTTACAACCATTCATTTAGTGACAAAAATTACAGTGTCACTGAAAAAAGTGACTTATGACCGTTTTTCACACTTAACAACCGCCGCAGTGTTCCCATGGTCATGTGATCAAAATTCAGACAGTTGGCAACTGGTTCATATTTATGATGGTTGCAGTGTCCTGGGGTCACGTGATCCTCTTTAGCGACCTTCTGACCAACATAAAGTCAATGGGGGAGGGGCAGTCAGATTCACTGAACAACCGTGTTACTAACTTAACAACAGCAATGATTCACTTAATAATAAAGTTGGAAGGGACTTTGAAGGTCATCTAGTCCAACCCCCTGCTCTGGCAGGAAACCCTATACCAGTGGTTCTCAGCCTGTGGGTCGGGACCCCATTTGGGATCGAACGACCATTTCACGGGGGTCGCCAAACAACGCAGTCTGCCATTTTTTTCCCCGCTTTTCCTTAGCTGTGCTACTCCCTTTTATTCTATTGGCTTTTGAAAGCCAATAGAATAGACTCTCTTGAATAGAGTCTAATTTTATTGGCTTTCAAAAGCCAATAGGAATTTTCCAGGCTGTCTCTGCCCTGCTGAGTCCCATTCTGCAAACGGTGCTGCACCAGTTGAGTAGTCCTCGACTTGCAACCGGTTGGGGGTCGCGGCATTAAAAAGGTTGAGGACCACTGCCCTATACCCTTTCAGACTGAACAATTGTGGCAAGAAAAGGCCGCCAAATGGGGTGAAACTGACTTAGCAAGTGTCTCACTTAGCAACACAAATGCTGGGGTTCGGTTGTGGCCATAAGTCAAATGTAATGAATGGGTAGAAGAAGAAATGGGAGAAATAAAAGAAATACGGA